ATGCGGGGCTCGATCCCAGGACCCTGGGATCATGACCTGAGCCGAAGGCAGACGCTTAACGACTGAGCCACCCAGGCGCCCCAATGTTCGCCGTTTCTAATTATAACTCTTTCTTGTTTCCATTCTGTGTTTTAAGCCCTGTAAACTGAAATATTCCGCTTTCTTCCAATGTACATATTGGAACATCAAAATAATACAAACTGTAGTTCTCACGTTTTTTCCAGGAATGCTGCTATGATTGAAGGAGGTCAGTAGAGTGGTTTCTTCCAGAGAAAGTTCGAATTTTGAACCCCTTTGGTCTTTGTATGGTTGCTGTAGTACACAAAACACCAATTTCCAAATTAGTTTCTGGATTTTTTGAATGGCTTAAGGCAGTAGTTTCATTGTGGTCCCTGGACCAGCATCAGCTGGGAATTAGAAATACAAATTGTGGGGCTCTAATCCAGACCTAGTGAATCAGAAACTGAGGATGGGGTCCAGCTATTTGTGTTTTAACAAGCCCTCCTGATGATTCTCATGTTTGCTGAAGCTGGAGACCCATTGGTTTAAAGGAAAATAACTTGTCTTAAAATTAGTAACACTGGTCTACATGGATTTTTTTTTTTTTTTTTGGTTATTGTGTTTTGTTTTTAATTGGGGGAAAAAATGAAGATTAGAACTACTGACTGCAAAATGGGGGCTGGTTTGGTAAATTAAAGCTGGTTTAGAAATATCTAATTTACATCCTCTCCTCCCATACTGGTCCAAACCTTTTTCTGGCCTGTCCACTTCTTGTAATCCTGTCTACCGATGCCAGGTAATGTGTTCTCTCTGCCTTCTACTCATTGTACTGCAAAATAATGTTATGTTTATTTAGCCAAATACTAGTGTCCTATTAGACGCAGATTACTGAATATGTTTAGCAATAAGAAAATAGAACTTTGTGTGCAGTGTGATAAAAGATGTGTCAAAGGTGTTTTTTGTTTGGTTTTTTTTTTGGCACAAAGGAAGGAAAAACATTGTTAAATGCCAACCTCTCTGTATAAACGTTTTGATGGCAATATAAATATTAAGGTGTATATTGTGTTTTCTTCATCTTAGATGTTAAAGACATTCTTGTGCTTAAGAATCAAAGAAGTGGAAGTGAAAAAAGATACAGAGGACATTAATAAACCAAAAAAGTTCATGACTTTCAAGGAAAAGAGAAAAACTCTCTCAAGAATGCAGAGAAAGGTTTGGTTGATTTCCTTTTTTGTTTGATTTGAGATTAAAACCATAGTGTAGGCACAGGCAGAAATCATAGTTAAATCATAAATATAAATGTGTCAAAACCTAATATTTAGAAAATTTTATTTTTTCCAGTTATTGCAAAGAAGTGCTTTATTAATTAAACTGACAATTCATTGGCAAAAAGAGCAGTTGATGAAAAAATTTCCTTGTCATGCTGGGTTTTAATTTTTTTGCTCTTCAGATTCATTGTGATACACAGATCCCTTCCTTGACCAGGAAGGCGATATTCATGTAAATTTGGCAACAAAGTGGGTTTTTGTTAATTGAAGCACCTTTCTTTATTGGCTTGCATTTGAAACCTAGGTTGAAATTCCAGCCCCTTGTTTATTTAGTATGAAACTTTGGTAACCTTTTTTTTTTTTTAATTTTGAGAAATGGAGCTAGCCATAGCACCCACCTCGTGGGTCACAGTGCACCTTAATAAGATGATGCAGGTAAAGCATTTAGCAAGTGCCTGACACTGGGTGTGCTTTATAAACATGAATTACTACTACCAGCATCGTTAGTATTATTACTTCTCAAAACATTTCTACATAGGGTTATCAAATTGCTTATTAAAAACAAAACAAAAAATAGTTTTCAGGGATATCCATCTTTGAATGGCCCTAATAAATTTTGAAAATGGGACAGAAGTACCACCATAGACTTAATAATTGGAAACAAATGAAGGTAAATATTTTAATTTTTTATACCATACTCTCCTAATATAAACTGGATATCCCTGTTAGAAACAGCATGTACGTATCTGTGGTGGGGAAACAGACCCACTAAGAACATGGCAGTTCCTTAAATGGCGCACGAAGGAAGGAAACTCTCCCTCAGTCGGTCCCCTGCGTCTTAGGCAGCTTAGCAACCATTATTTGCTGCTCATACTGCGTAAGAAAGTGGAGAAACTTATATTTTGTTGAATTTCTCTATAGTGTCTGATTTTATGCATTGTATGTAAATGTGTTTAGGAAGTATCGTTGATGACTAATTTCTGTGTTATAGATGATTTAACAGTAAGAATTATTTCTGGGCTCAGTGTGTTCTTCCCTTTTTTCTCTTTTGAAAAAACTTATAGAAAACTACAGAGAATAATACAGAATATTCCATGTATCTACCATTCACAATGAGCAAATATTAATAGACTTCAGTTTCATTCTTGAGAAGAAACCATCAGTGATAGAGTGAGAGTCCCCTTTGTTCCTCTCCCCAGTCTTGTTCTGCCTTCCTCCCAGGAGGCAGCCGCTGTCCTCGGTTTGGTGTGTGTTTGCTGCTTCTTCAGGTCTGTGTACTTGTGCTTGTGTTTGTATTCATAGGCAGGTTAGGGTACGTGTTTCAGAATATTGACATATTATGCCTCTGAAGCTTGCTTTTTCACTCAGCACTATATACTCTTACTTTTTCTTTCCTGTCTCTTTCCAGTGGAAGAAAGCAGAAGAGAAACTAGAGCGAGAGCTACTGGAGGCAGAAGCTTCAGAGAGCACGGAGAGAAAACTTAAACTGGTAGGCAGTTTCACGTTCTCTCACGCTTTTAGAATGTTTTGTTAAATGGTTTTAACTAGAGATTATTGTTTCAACTTGGGGTTGTATAATCTTGGTTAATCTGCCGAGCCTTCGATGTGATCATTGCTGGTCTCGTGAAATCACAAGGTGCGTATCTTCATTCTGTTTTGTTGAAGCTCCTAAGATTGGACTGTGGAAAGGGTCGGGAAGGGACAGAAGGTTGAGCTTTGACTGTCATCGCTGTAGTAATTCAGGAGAAAGGGTACGGGGTTATACTCAAGTCATTTTGTCTGTTTCTTCTGCCAGCACACGGAGACTTTGAATATTGTGTTTGTGACCTACTTCAGAATATTGAAGAAGGCCCAGAGGTCACCTCTCCTGCCATCAGTTCTAGAAGGCCTTGCCAAGTAAGAGCTGTGTAGATTGAAGCCTTTTCAGTTCTTTCTAAATAAATAAGACCAAAAAACCCATGACTCTTAACCAGGGTTCACTAATGATGACCCAGTGTCCTTTTTCTTTTTTGTCTGTCACCGGTCTTTCCTTGAAACTGTTCATAATGCTGTCTTTTTACTTTTCTCATCTCAAGCCTTTTATTTTTTAAATCTCCTTCAGTAACTCCTTTCTTCTGCTGACTAAGTTCGGGGGGTCCCGAAAGTTCATCTCTTCAGTTCTTGGTTCTTTTTGCGCTGTGGTCAGTTATCCACTGTCAGACTTCTGAGTGGTCCGTGCATGTGACTCTTCAGTCTCTTCTAACCCTGCTTGCACATCCTTTTCTCGAGTCCTGTGCAGTCTTTCCCGGAAAGAGAAATCTCTCTGTATATTCTAGTGAACCTGTTGGGGGATGCGAGCTAGAACAATGGTGCTTGTGGTAGTTTTCCAGGTATGTGAGGTAGTAGTATCCTGTAGAACAGTGCAATAGAACTATAATGTGAACTGCTTACGTGATGTAAAGTTTTCCGTTAGCCACATTAAAAAAGTAAAAAACCGGTGCAGTTAATTTTAACATTTTATCGAACTCAGTTTAAAATGTTTTGCCGTACAGTCGGTATTAGTTATTGAGATACTTGGTCTTCTTATTTTCATAAAAACCAATGAATATTTTACACAGACAACATATCTCAGTTTGGACCAGTCCCGTTTTAGATGCCTAGTAGCCGCGTGTGCTAGTGGCTGTCATCATTGGACAGCACAGCTTTAGAAACAGGACTTATGGTTGGAAACAAGAGAAAAGGCAAGTTGTATTTAGTATAGGAAATTTCTTTGTAATGACTGGAGCTGTTTGGCAATGGGATTATAAAGTAATTGGACCTTGTTATTGAAAAGATTCAAAGGGAGGTTGGTCAGAGAAAAGATTACTCCTACATTGGATAGGACCTACTGTTTGTTCTTCAGTGACCAGCGCCTTTATTTTAAAAAGCTTTTAGTCATATGTACTTACTTTAAAAATTCAAATTATTCAGAAGCATATAAAATTTAAAAATTACCATTTTTCCTGTGTGTATATATATATACATAAGTCTGTCTGCCTGTCTTCTGTCACACAGATGGAATCCTGCTACGTAGACTGTTCTATTTTGATAAAATGGTTACTTTGGGTATCTTCCCATGGTGGTGTGATTATATCCACCTTTTTTTTTTACATTTGGAATGTTCCGTTTTATGGATTGGTGATACTTCTATTTGGCCAGCCCGCTATGCTGCACTGGAAATACCTTCATGCACTTGTGTGCATATATTGCCTGGTCAGAGGGTCTGCTCGTTTTAAATGTTGATAAATACTGCCCAGTTGCTTCACAAAAAAGTTGGACTAGTACACGGGGAATGTATCACTTTTAAGATTCTTTCTTATTCTGAGCCTTTTATTTTTTGTGTCAAAGGCTCTTGCACTAATACTGAAGAAAGATCTTGACTTTAAGTACGTCAGCGCCTAGGAGTTTACACTGTACAGCATGCTGTCACATGATTCTTCTGTAACTCTCCTGAGTGATCTCCGTTATTTCTAGAAACAGAGACCCAGGACTGACAAGTGACTTACCTAGGATCATATAGGCAGTTAATTTCAGAGCCTGAACTAGATACTAGGTCCAGTATTCTTTCCATTTTATTTTTAACGCTTTAGTAGGGTCCATATTCCTATAAATAACAGTCTCTTTCCTCCTTTCCCTTTTCCCGCTTCCCATTTTTCCAGAAGCTGATGTTTTTGGCCCTCTTTTGAGTTAGAGCAGCATGGGGTAGCTGGTAAACTTTCCTTGGAGAGTTGTTTTTAACAACTTGTTTTGTAGGGCAGAAGTATTTCTGAAATACTTTCACTTTGTTTCGTGCCTCGTATATTCCTGCTGAGTGTAGTGTCCAGCTGTGGGTGAATTGTTAGGTTCTGTCATTCTGAATTAATGAGAAGTATCAATAATTACCACCATCTGTATCATAACTAACATCGAAATAGGGAATATTAAAAATATGGCTTTAAAGTCAGGTTTAATTTCTAGCTGTTTTATTTCTGTTTTTAGGTCACCTATTGACTAAGCTCTGTTTGATTCTAGGTTTGCTCACCTTATAAATGTGGAGTTTTTCGATGATTTATTAGTAGTACTGCATACTCTCATCGAATCTGGTGTAAGTAACTCTATTTCATGAATTACTTTTTAAGATACGAATGGTGATTATTATCCTTAATGTCCTTTTCTCCCTTTTTTTTTTTTTTTCTTCAAGGACCTGAGCTATCGAGAAAGCCTTCACTGCGTCCAGACCGCTTTTCATATTCTTTCTGGGCAAGGTAAAATATTTTCTTAATCAAGTTTTGTTTGCTTTACCTTTGGAGGCTGTAACATACCTAATTGTTTGTTGTAATTTCAAAGGTGATGTTCTGAATATTGACCCCATGAAATTCTATACACATCTGTATAAAACACTGTTCAAGTTACATGCAGGTATGTACATTTAGATAATGTGTCTTTAATAAATACTTCTCTTTTAAGAATATCTTGTGTATAGTCAACGAAAAGTGAGAGATCAGAATTGGCGTATTAGAATGTTGGCCTCTGAGGGCCACACATCTGTATTTAACCTTATGTAAGAGTTGGAGAAAGAGAATTTCTGGAATTGACTGGAGCTATGGTAGAACCGTCTGCATCTCCTGAGCAGTATAGCACTACTTCATTGGTTAGGGAAATGATTTGGGACAGGTATGACAGTTTGTCTGGGTTTTTCTGGAATGCAGTGAAGCTGTATAATGAAAAAGTAATGATACTAGGTATTTACCCCAAAGATACAAATGTAGTGATCGAAGGGGCACCTGCACCCGAGTGTTCATAGCAGCAATGTCCACAATAGCCAGTCTGGAAAGAGCTGAGATGTCCATCAACAGATGAATGGATAAAGAAGATAGGATACACACACACCCACACACACAATGGAATATTACTCAGCCATCAGAAAGGACGAATACTTACCACTTACATAAACATGGATGGAACTGGAGGGTATTATGCTGAGTGAAATAAGTCAAGCAGAGAAAGACAATTATCATATGGTTTCACTCATATGTGGAATATAAGAAACAGGGCAGAGGACCGTAGGGGAAGAGAGGGAAAATGGAATGGAAAGAAATCAGGGAGACAAACCATGAGAAACTCTTAAGCATAGGAAACCAACTGAGGGTTGCTGGAGGGGTGGGGGGATGGGGTAACTGGGTGGTGGGCGTTAAGGAGGGCATGTGATGTGATGAGCACTGGGTGTTGTATACAACTGATGAATTATTGGACACTACATCTGAAAACTAATGATGTAATGTAGGTTGGTTAATTGAATGAAAAAAAAAAAAAAAAAAGGAATGAGAACAGCCCTGAAGGGTGTATCTGCTGTTTCAGGTGCTACCAATGAAGGTGTCGAGATTCTGCTCCAGTGCCTTGACGTCATGCTAACTAAGCGCAGAAAGCAGGTTTCTCAGCAGAGAGCCCTTGCTTTCATCAAGCGTCTTTGTACCCTTGCTCTTCACGTTCTTCCAAATTCAAGCATTGGCATTTTAGCAACTAACAGAATATTAATGCAGGTAAGTAATGATAGAAAGCCAAGTTCTGGTAGTACAACAGTGCTGTCTTGTTTGCATCTTTTCCCCCTATTTATGTTATTACTGTGATAAGGCAAAATGGTAAAATCCAGTGAGAAAAGAAGTATATAAAATTACAAAACCAAAGCATTCCCACCCCTGTTGACACTCTCCAGAGGTAACCATTTTTACCATTTGTTGGGTTTCCTTCCAGCAGACTTTTTAATTCATATATAAACATGTACAACACACATACACAGACAGTACAGCTTTTTTTATGGTATACGTTATTCTATGACTTTTTTTTTTTTTTTTTAAAGATTTTATTTGTTTTTCAACAGAGAGAGAGAAACAGTGAGAGAGGGAACACAAGCAGGGGGAGGGGGAGAGGGAGAAGCAGGCTTCCCGCGGAGCAGGCAGCCCGATGCGGGGCTTGATCCCAGGACCCTGGGATCGTGACCTGAGCCGAAGGCAGACGCTTAACGACTGAGCCACCCAGGCGCCCCTCTACGACATTTTTTTTTAACACTAATGGTGATGGACACATTTTTGTGTGGTACAAATATAGCTATAAAGTACATGTGTTTATAGCTCTTTTTAAAAAATGTTTTATTTTTTAAGTAGGCTCTACGCATACCCAGTATGGGGCTCGAACTCATGACCCCAAGATCAAGAGTCACTCTACCCACTGAGCCAGGCGGGTTCCCCGCTTATAGCTTTTATTTAAGCATAAAAATCAAATTAAATTAAAAGAAAAGTATAGAACCCAGGAACATTCTTTACCAGTATTAATTTAATTAATTCTTATTTTTATGTGACATTTTTGCAGACTTTCCCAAAAACAGATCTGTTGCTTGACAATGAGTCTCAGGGAAGTGGGGTTTTCCTTCCTGAACTGGATGAACCCGAGTACTGTAATGCTCAGAACACTGCACTTTGGGAATTGCATGCACTACGGGTAAGGATGGCCCTTTCTTTTTTTTTTTTTCTTATTATGTTATGTTAGTCACCATACAGTACATCATTAGTTTTTGATGTAGTGTTCCATGATTCATTGTTTGCGTATAACACCCAGTGAGGATGGCCCTTTCTTTGTGAGCAGTGTTTTTCAGTTTTTCCCCAAGTCGTTACTGTTGCTAGAATCCTCAATATAATTTTGTTCTGGGATGGCTTTTTCGAGAATTCCTGTTTTAATAGTCTACATTTCACTTTGCTCTTACTGTTCTTTAAGATGTTGAGGTACATTTTCTAAGGAGGCAGAAAATAACATTTTTGTGGGGTGAGGTTTAGAAAATTGAACTATTTCCTCAGGACTATTCAGAATGGAAGATTTGTGTTGGGTCCTGCCCAAGGAGACTCTGGTAACCCCTCAGTTTTAAGAGGGTGGCACTGTTGTGATTCTACGGTGTGGACACATTAGAGGGAGACTCGTAGCAAATATGTTTCAGGAAACCTGTTGTAAACTAACTTTTTTCACTCTAAAAGAGAAATTCCTTCTTGATTTTTCTTTTCATGCTGTAAAAGCAAGACTAAGCTACGTCACTGGTAACCTGGTCATCAGATTCATGTTGTTATCATGTGAGCAGAGAGTATTTTTTCTGTTGGTATTATGTGGTTATGTGAATTACATATACATATATGATTTTAAAAAATAGTGTTCATTACAGAAAATCTTTGCTGTAGCCAGTGTTTTATAAAGTACTGACCTGTGCAAAATGTGGCTGTCCTGCTTGTCCTTCAGAGACATTACCATCCCGTCGTGCAGAGATTTGCAGCTCACCTGATCGCCGGAGCCCCCTCTGAAGGCTCAGAAGCACTCAAACCGGAGTTGAGCCGGAGGTAATCAGACCACAAACTGCAGTTGGTCTCTGTTCGCTCTGAGAAGTCTGCTCTATTTATAAAGTAATAGGTTTTAAAACAGAAAGTGCCAGTTGATCTGGATTTGGTCTCACTTCATATTCCTGAATTGTTCTAAGGAGAAAACATGCCGACAGTGATTTTGTTAGTGTTTTGGTAATCGCTTAACGTTTTTTTTTGGGTTATAAAAAGTTTCACACATCCAGGTAAGTAGAAAGAATAGTGAAAACACATACCCCCGACACTCAGCTTCAGCATTTAATAAGATAATGCCATATTTGCTCTTTGGGAAGATCCACAAGTCCAAGCACAGTGAGATTGGTTCCTGCTGCTGAATGGTCAGTTGTGCGAGGGCCAGCAGGGGAGAAGTGAGAGAAGAAAGTGCTTTGGAACACTGCTACTCAGAGGGGCCGCACTTCCTCTCCGTGGGGCTCCCAGTCCTCTAGGTGCAGTGCGGCCTGGCTGGCTGGTACTCCCAGCCTCCACCGTACGCTCCAGGTGGGGAGTAGGATCCTGCCAAGAGAAGTTTCTTTTCTAGCTTCTTACTCAGAAAAATTTCAAAAGTACAGAAAAGTTGAAAAAATAATGGCCCTTTTCCCTACAAAATGAGGCAATTACACAGAAAAGGAAATGACATAAAAGATACCCTTGTAATATACTCACCACTCACAATTAATATTCTGCTGTAGAATTTTCTTTTTTTTTTTTTTTTTATTCATGAAAGTCAGAGAGAGAGAGAGAGAGAGAGAGGCAGAGGCAGAGGGAGAGAAGCAGGCTCCCCGCCTAGCAGGGAGCCCGATGCGGGACTCGATCCCAGGACCCTGGGATCATGACCTGAGCCGAAGGCAGACGCTTAACCATCTGAGCCACCCAGGCGCCCCATCTGCTGTAGAATTTTCATTTGCAGTCCACTGGTTTCTCTAATTTGGAGATCATAGACAAGTGACTGGTAGGCCAGCAGACTGGTATTCTGGCCTCTTCAGAGTTTAAACAAAAATTGAATTATTTGCTATATTTTAAATATTGGACAAATTCACCTAGAAGTTCCAGCTTCTCTTGAAGTACTGGGAGATTTGGCAAAATAGGTCTATATTTTTGCATGGCAGAAATCAGCTGCTTCCTCCCTCTAAATGAGGCAGAAACTCCAGTTTTCCATGAACCCTTTTCCTTCTGGGTAGAAGAGAGAGAACTTTTGGCCGTATTAAATGATAAAGTGGCCATTTACTTTTTTCTTCCTTCATACTTCCCACCTGTCCTCCAGCCTCGTTTTTTAAAAGGGAGAAAAAGGAGAAAACAATTACCTGTCCGTTTTCTTATTCATGATCTTTTTCTGGCATGTTTTCGTCAAAGATCTTGAATGTCTGCCTCATTTATGCCAGAAGTTTCTTTCTCTGGAGGAAGATGAAGAATGGGTTTATCCCAAAAGCTTGAGAAAGAAGACTCATGATGGTCTTGTCCTGGAGGGTGGAGCTTGGGATGAGACTCTGATTGCAACCCTTGTAGGCCCTTGCTGATCTCCTTCGGGGAGTGTGAACCAACCCCAAGTCACTAAGGATTCATTTACATGCCATGGGTATAGACATTTAGTCTGTCCTTGGCCTCTCCTTGCTTTTAATCCAGGCCAATAACTGAGGGGTTGAGCTATTTGAAATTCATGGAGGTAACTCCATGCTTCACTCATCTGGCCCCCATGACTTAGTTGCATATTGTTCACATAACTGGCCGAGTTGGGATTTGATTACACTGAGCTGGAGTTCTTCTGCTCAGCCTTGTCTTTGTCCAGGCCTGTGTTTCTAAATGTACACCAGACCTCTCTGAGGTAGATTTAGTTGGATAGCATTGTCATTACATGGGAATTTAGGATTTATTTTACGAGTGTGTTGGTTTGTTGGTTTCAAGAGCAGGATTATGTTATATCTTCCTATATGGGGTTTAGAATAATGAGTCCTTCTCTTTGGGTACAGTCTAATTTTTTCAGGTTATACAGATCGGGTGATGTCCTTACATTCCTTCTGTGATTATAGATCTGCTGCAGAACTTTTTGAGACCTACAGCATGGCTGCAATGACATTCAATCCTCCTGTTAAATCTTCAAGTTCCAAAAGGAAGGTATGTGATGCTTTTTCATTATTTTTTTTAAAAGATGAAATAAAAACTAAATGTCTCTATTAACTGATTCCGACTTCCGTAATTGTATTATAGGTAGATTTTTTTTCATGTTTAGGAGTTGACGGTAGGCTGGATCCGTAGGGTTGGGACTCTGGAGATGGTCACGAGACTGTTCAGTGTAGGCTTTGTCCCAGACCTGACCCAGTGCTCGTCATATCAGGTTTCATGTGTTGGTTCGGGGTCTACTGTTGCCATTTTCAATTTTGCTCACAGCTTGGCTTTTGCTTATGACAGAAGAACTTTTAATGTGAGTCACTTTTAATATTTTTTCAGAGTGAAGTTTTACAAGGGGATTCATTTTTGAATGAAGATTTAAATCAACTAATCAAAAGACATTGCAGTGAAGTTGCTACTCACTTGCCTCTGGATTTCACCAAATATTTGAAAACATCACTACGGTAGTAGAAGAAGGAGTCAGTGGACTTTCTCTTATATTTGTTTAGATGCACATAGAGACCTACTGTTAATTTAGGACATTCTTTTTTTATACAAGGGAAGCTTCCTAAGAAAATTAACAGCGGAGGAAGAATTACCCTTTGCATGGCACAGGGTTCTGCCCCAATTATGAAATTGTCATTTAAGAAAGGAGAATTGAAAACCACCTACCCCCATATTTGGAAGTTTCTTAATGACATTGCCTTTTTAAAACTTAATATATATCTTGGGATGCCTGGGTGGCTCAGTTAGTTGAGTGTCCAACTCTGGATTTTGGCTCAGGTCATGATTTCAGGGTCATGAGATTGAGCCCCACGTGCTGGGTGTGGTGGCTGCCTAAGATTCTCTCTCCTGCTCTGCCCCAACCCCCTGCGCTCCCCCCCTAAAAAAAAACCCCAAAACAAAAAACTTAATCTACATCTTAAGTTACAGTTTTAAAAAAATCTTTGGAGTGAACTTAATTGGATTACAGTTGCCCCCTTAAAATGAGGGCATAGAGTGCAGAAAAATCAAGACCATGAGATTGCTTTTTAAAATTCAGCTACTCTTCATTTATTTATTTATTTTTCTAAAAGATTTTATTTATTTGACAGAGACAGAGAGCCAGAACACAAGCAGGGGGAGTGGGAGGGGGAACAGTAGGCTTCCTGCCGAGCAGGGAGCCCGATGCGGGGTTCCATCCCCAGGACCCCGGGATCATGACCTGAGCCGAAGGCAGACGCTTAACGGCTGAGCCACCCAGGTGCCCCTCAGCTACTCTTTATAACCAAAACTCTTTCAAATGAAATAAATATATATTTTTTGCAGTACTACAGATGGAAATGAGAAAAATTCTACATTTGAGTATGTTTTCAGGAAGATTTTTGAGAAAAGAAAAAATAGCTTGAAATTGGAGATTAGGTTCATTGGCTCTGGCTGAATGATACACTTCAAGAAGTAACTTAATTTGATCTTTTTAAAAAAGAACGAGAGTGTTCATTATGGCTACTTGCAAAAAGAGTTTGAACGTGATTCTAGTCTCTTCACAGTTCTTCGCATTTTCTGCCATGTTCTGGAGGGTGATGGGGGAAGAACTGCTCTTGGGTGGAAAAACCAATTTGAAGACTTGCCTCTGTTTTAAGGATAAATGGTGCCTGTTGAAGGGCTTCTCCTCTTTTCCTTCTCCTCCTTCTCCTGCTCCTCTTCTTCTTCCTTCGTCTTCATCGTCTTTGTACAGATACAGTCCTATTCTTATGAATATAATTAAAAAGCAATATTTTACCTGAGCTATTGCCATATTCTAGGAATGGCCTATGAAATAAGTTTTTGTAACAACCAGGTTATAAATACTCTCTACTGTGAATAATCGAATAAAACAGCTGCCTTTTTTTTTTTTTTGCTTCCTATTCTTATGTCAGAATTTAAAAAAAGTGCACAGAGTCGCAACTAAATAGATCTCTTATGTCTTCAAAACTGTAGAAGCCAATTCTTTTGGTCTAGAGCTTAAAGCTCTTTTTTTCCCCTCATGACATAAGTGAGAATAGAAAGTTCCTTTATTACTCCTGCTTAATGGGGGAGATCAGCTCAACAGTGCATGTTAATCTTTTACCATATTCTTATATGTGATTTTAAAAAGTGTTTTTGTTTTTTTAGGCTTATTTAAGGAGAATGTATGATTTAACATATAAATACTTGCTTTTAATCCACATTTTAGATATAAAACAAGGTCCAGAAATGTTATGAATAGTGTTTTGGATGACGACAGGGTCTTTCCCCATCAGAGCACAAGTGACCATTACATGTCACAAATCATTTATTTCCCAAACATATACAAATACATTTATATTTCACTTTGGCAGCAGAAACTGTAGTTTAGGTGAAAAATCAATTTAAAGTAGAAATTCATCAACTATTTCACACTTGTATTATGCTTTTAACCTTCTAGTTACACATACAGAGAGTCACAGTGGGACCATAAAATTCTACGTCTAGCATTTGAATGCTCTATGAATTTGAGAGTGAAATCTATTTGTGCATAAACTTACATGGCCTGTATTGATGGGTTTCATTTTCAGAACTAAATATCCTAGTCATTAACAGTAACATACACACACTCTGAGGCTATAACAAGCTACAGCCTTAATATATTTTTTTTAACTAGACGAATATCGAGCACCTACTGTGTGCTTAGCATTGTGCTAGGCACTTAAAAGTGAAGTGGGGGTAAGAATGGGTGTAAGACACAGTTTCAGTCTTCCATGGGCTTGCATACTACGATCATTCACACAACATTTAAACAAATGCAACATTACCCATTTCAGTGTCAGAGTGAATTAGTTCAAAGTTCAGAGACCTGGGAAAGGTCTCATAGACCTTCTTGAGCATAGTCTACTTGGGATCTAAGAGATGTACATGAATAACTTGGTAATTATGGAGATTCAGTACTTCAGGAACATTTAGGTCATCCCATGTCAAATGACCATGGGATGCCATCAGCTGAAGATTCCTTAGGAAATTGACACTTAGAGATGGCCAAGAACGTATACATTGTTAACAGCACACTGTATCCTGGGAATACTGACCCAAGAATGGACTTAGTGTAAGACGCAGTCTTCCTTTCCTAATAACTTTCTGGAGGGTCTAGGTATTCACCTCTTTTCACTTTGCTGCACACGTGAGAGAAGAAACTGCAGGTGGTCGGAGGCAGCCATCTAGAGGGCTGTAGGCTGTAGGCTGCCTCTCACTCTGCCAAGTTGGGAGATCAGACACCAGCCAGAAGAATCCTAGTTTTCTCTTGGTGTGGTGGCAGTTAATTCAGTTTTACCAGGCAGGATGCAAGCTCTGTTACTTGTCAGAATTGAGCAAGGCCTGTGGGTGTCCAGGCAGAGGACGACAGGTCTACAGAACTACTGGATAGGGAAAGAGAAGAGAGGAAGGGGAAGATGTAGTTTGAGTAAGGAGTACGTGTGTGGCAGGAGGGGGCCCTCTTCATTAGTGAGCCTCTAGTGTTTCCCGAGCCCCTAAGATGGGAGCCTTTGTATGAAAGCAAATGTAATTAAAAACAAGGCACCTGTAACTCACTTCTGTTGAGTTGTAACTCCTATTTACCCCCATCTGGAGAATTTATAAGTAACTATTACTTGCTAAGGATAGAATGACATGAAAAGAGGCATTTCCCTCAACAGGGCACTTTCTGTCTAAATAGTATTGTTACTTCCTACAGATTTGCCCTCAAACTTACCCTCAATTCCTTGATGACCTCACGCGACCTTCCATTATTTTGCAAAACAACCAATTCCAGATGAACAGGTGACCAGGAGGAAGTCAGTCTATTTCTTCGGCATCACAGACCAGTTGGATTCTTACCTATTCCTTTTTCACCAGCTATACATATTCTGTAAAGTTGTCATCACCCAACAGTAACAGAACTCATGCTCCTTTGTTTTTAGTGAGGTGTCTTGAAATATTTTTCCTCAAAATCTTGTCATAAACCTAGTTTGCATATTTAGATTCTTTGCCATATCAACTTTACAAATGATAAAAGTTTGCTACCCAGATTTTTAGTAGTCTGGAAAGTTTGAAGTGGTAATGGGTAGAGTCTGGGTGGCCGTTTTCGATTTATTCTAATAGGATAATTTCTTTCATTTGGTGTACTAACATAGCTATATAGTTCAGAGAAGCTACAAATAAACATTTCATACATTTGGCAAACACCAGGTTGTGCCAGTTAGTTGTAATAGAGTGGGCGTTTTACATTTTGAGCAGTGTCTTTCAGAAGGTCCCAAAGACTCTGATACAACGGAGGATGTGCTTTCACCTCAAAATGGAATGAGCAACTAGTTGGGTTCAACATAGGCAATACATTTACTTGTAAAACCTAGTCTCACTTTAGTCTCGGGGAGTTTCAGAGTCCGTCCTGCAGCCGAGTCACAATGTTACAGACTCGGGTGGGGCGGGTGGGGCGGGGCTGGAGCTTCGAGTCAAGGCCAAGTGCTAAACCTAGAGAGACCAGTCTTGCTTCTCATCCTCTTACTCTGCACTGTTTTCATCTTGACTCTAGCCAGTTTTAGGCCAGTACCTCAGTTTTCAGTACATGATAAACCAAACAAGAGGAAAAGATGTCAAATTTATAGACGCATGATAAAGTGTTTCTGGAATATTTTTTTTTTAAATGGGGCAGTATCGTGCATTTCTTATAGACTGATGATTTGAAAAGAACCCTGTAGCACTGGGCAAACCACATCCAACTGGAATAGCTTGAATTCTGTGGACAAGCAAATGGCGGCTGTTCTAGCATTAAGGCTTCGAGTCAGTGAACAATAACGTGAAAGCTGTCTGGTGTGGTTTTTTTTTTTTTTTT